AGGCGGTCCTGACTGGAAGAATTGCGTTCTGAGCATTTCTGACCCTAAATTGTAAGCTGCTAACTCCGTAATAGGAGTCCTGGTGTGGCGCTGTGGGTTAATGCACCAGACTGTAAAGCCATTTGAACTGCAAGGCCAGCGGTTCAAGTTCACCAGCAGCTCCTCGGAAACCCTATACAGGGTCGCTATGGATCAGAACTGACTCGACAGCACTTCACAACAACAACAACAACAACTCTGTAATAAACCCCATAACTGTGGGCATGGTGTCGGCAAAGTAGAGAGTGCTGTACAGATACCACGCTCACAGTTACGGGGTTTATTAGGGAGTTATGGAAGGACGATGGTGTCAGATTTGGTAGAGAAGATTGGAGCGTAGAGGCACGTCTGACCCCCGCCACATAGGACTCAGCCTAGGACTGATGCTGACTGTGACTCTCCTGATGAAATGGGAGGAGCTCACATGCTGCCTTCAGACCATTTATTTGTGTTGTTGTTAAGTGCCGTTGAGTGGGCTCTGGCTCACAGTGACCCTGTGTGGGATTTCCAAGGCTGTATTTTCGGGAGCAGAAGGCTTCTTTCTTTTGTGGAGTGGCTGGTAGGCTTGAACTGCATGCTTGTGGTTTGATGTCCAGTTCTTATTCTATAGAGCCACCGTGCTCCTAGTTTTTATAGCTGTGATAATGGTAGTATATAAGATGTAAGCGCTGTTGCCATTTAGAGGGACTCCTGGTGTGGCGCTGTAGGATCAGCACTGGACTGTGAACCACAAGGTGGGCAGTTCAAACCCGCCAGCTGCTCCTCAGAAACCCTCCACAGGATTGTTATGAGTTGGAACCAACTCAAAGGCACTTAACAACAACATCATTTAGAAAGACCTACTAAAATAATCACAAGTGAAATAATGTGAGGCCTAGGATTTGCTACCAGGACTGCTAGAGAGGCTGAATAAACCAAGATTGATCACAAGTTTGCAATTACTGAGCTAGGTGAAGGGTGCAAGGAGGTTCATTATACGAGTCTGTCAACTTCTACTTGTTTATAGTTTGAAACTTTCCATAATAAAATTATAAAAAAATACTGGACTCCTCCCCCAGAGATTGAAATAAATTACTCTGGGCTTCAATTTAGAAGCTGTTTTGTTTTTGCTTTTTAAAAACTCTCCAAGCGCTTGTAATGTGCGGCCAAGGGTGAGAACTAATGCACTTCCTTGGACACAAGATGCTGAGAGCCTGAGCTAAGACCAAAGCAGAAGTGTTGGAGAGGTCAAGAGCCACTGACCCAAATGTACTTGATCTGGTGGGGGAAGGGATGGAAGAGAGGGTGGGGTCAAGGGTAAGGCAAATCTCAAGCTCAGGTGATGGTGGGGGAGGGAGGTGCTGGGGGGAAGGAGTTGAGTTGGGACCTGTGTAACTTCCAGTGGAATGGGCAGTTGGCTTGTGGGTCTAGAGATCCATTAAGACCCTGAAGCAGACACAGAAACTCAAGCTTCACAGGGCTGTCCCCCAACCCAAGACAGAACTCAAGATGGCTGCACACAAGGATGCCATCAGAGCTTCTAGGAAACAGCAGAATCTTGGTCCCTGATCCTGCTGGTGGTGGACTGACGGACCCCATTCTTTTCACTAGTGGTTGGTCTTTGTTCTTTGCCTCCCCACCTCCTGTCCACATCCTTGAATGGAAACTCAAAGGGAAGTCAGCCAGTTCTGAGCGGCTCCTGAGTCCTCCCACATCCTGTCTGAGGGACAGTAAGCATCTGTTAAACAAATGAATGCCCAGGAGAATCTGAAGGTAATCATAAAGGTGGGAGCAGAGCAGACTGTGCCAACAGTCAGTAGACTGGCTGAAAACAGCTAAAACATGTATTGATCAAGCATGCAATCAAGCTGTATTGATAATGACTAGCGCATGGAGTGCCAAGGCTAGAAACAAAGAGCAAGGATAAATAGTTGGAAAAGATGGTCTTGGTGATAGAAACGATGGCGATTGCATGGCATGATTTTGCAAAACCAATGACTTATTCATTGCACATGCCTTTTTAAAAAAACATAACAGGCAATTATACACATAAACCTCACCAGATGAAATATATAAGAATCAAAATGACTACATCTGTGTGAAGAAACAGTGGAAAAGCTCCATATCATCCGCTCAACATTGTCAGCCCAAACGAAGTCAGGGGCAGACTGTGGAAGAGACCATCAATTGCTCATATACAAGTTCAGGCTGAAGCTGAAGAAAATTAAAACAAGTCCATGAGAGCCAACTAGACTGCAAGGACAGTTTGAGCATCCAAGATCAGCAGTTCAAACTCACTAGTCGCTCCTCGGAAACTCTATTCAGTGTTGCTATGAGTCAGAACTGACTCAAAGGCACTTAACATCAGTAACAACAAAGAGCCAACACATGACCTTGAGCATATTGCACTTGAATTTAAAGAAGATCTCAAGAATAGATTTGATGCATTAGACACTAAAGGCAGAGGACTAGAGAGCTGTGGATGACATTAAGAACATCATGCAGGAAGAAAGCAAAAGGTCAGTAAATAGGAAAAAAAGAAAACACCGAAATGGATTTCAGAAGAAACTCACAACTTGCTCTCCAGTAGAGATGCTAAAGTGACCAGAGCAGTGAGAAAGTAAAAGAACAGAAAATGTCAAAGGACAACTCCAGAAGACAAAGTTAAGTATCATAATGAAATGTGCAAAGACCTGGAGTTACAAAACCAAAAGGGTAGAACACGCTTAGTATTTATAAAACTAAAAGAAGTGAAGAAAAATTCAAACCTCAACCTGAAATATTGAAGGATTCTCTGGTAGCGTAGTGGTTACGAATCGGGCTGCGAACCTTAAGGTCAGTGGTTTGAAACTACCAGCCGCTCCACGGGAGAAAGATGAGGCTTTCTACTCCCGTAAAGATTTACACCCTCGGAAACCCTGTACAGGGTCGCTATGGGTCGGACCCGACTCGATGGTACTTAACAACAACAACAACAACAGGCAAAATATTGAATGATGCAGAAAGTGTCAAAAGAAGATGAAAGGCATACACAGAGTCAATATATCACAAAGAAATGGTCAATGTTCATTTCAAGAGGTAGCATATGATCAAGAACTGATGATACTGAAAAAAGAAGTCCAAGATGCACTGAAGGCATTGGTGAAAAACAAACTCCAGGAATTGATGGACTACAAATTGAAATCTTCTAACAAACTGATGTAGTACTGGAGGCACTCACTCATCTATGCCAAGAAATTTGGAAGACAGCTACCAGGCTAATTGATTGGAATAGATCCATATTTGTGTCCATTCCAAAGAGAGGTGACCTTATGGAATGCAGAAATCATTGAACAGTATCATTAATACTACATGCAAGTAAAATTTTTCTGAAGATAAGTTAAAAATGGTTCCAATGGTACATCGATACGGAACAGCCAGAACTATTCAGAAGAGGACATGAGATCAGGGATACCATGACTGACGTCAGATGGATGTTGGCTGAAAGAGAATACGTGAAAGATGTTTACTTGTGGTTTAATGACTATGCAGAAGCTTTTGACTGTGTTAATTATGGCAAGCTATAGATAACATTAAGAAAGGGTTTCCAGAACATTTGATTGTGCTCATGAGGGAACTATACACAGATCAAAAGGAAGTTGTTCAAAGAGAACAAGGGGATACTGAAGGGTCTTAAATCAGGAAAAGCCTTAAATCAGGAAAGGGCTGTATCCTTTCGCCTTACTTATTCAATCTGTATGCTGAACAAATAATTCAAGAAGCTGGATCAGATGAAGAAGAGTGTGGCATCAGGATTGGAGGAATACTCATTAAGCAACCTGTGATATGCAAATGAAGTAAAGAGCACTTAAAGTATTGATAAAGTTCAAAGACCATAGCCTTCAGAATGGATTGCACCTCAATGCAAAGAAAACAAAAATCCTCACCATTGGACCAATGAATAATATAATAAATGGAGAAAATATCGAAGTTATCAAAGACTTTATTTTGCTTGTATCTACAATCAACACTCATGGAAGCAGTAGTCAAGAAATCAAATGGCATATTCCACTAGGCAAATTTGCTGTGCACGATCTCTTTAAAGTGTTCAAGAGCAAAGAGAAATCAGTTTGAAGACTAAGGTGTCTCTAACCCAAGCCATATGGTACTTTCATATGGTGTGAAAGGTGGACATTGAATAAGGAGCACTGTAGAAGAATTAATGCATTTGAGTTATTGTAATTTGAAAGTACCATGGGCTGCCAGAAGAACAAACAGATCTGTGTTGGAAGAGGTAACAGCCAGAAGGCTCCTTGGAGGCAAGGGTGGCGAGCTTTTTTTCTCTTATACTTTGAACATATTATCAGGAGGTACGAGTGCCTGGAGAAGAACATTATGCTTGAGAAAGGGGAGGGTTGGCAAAAAAAATGGAAGGCTCCCAACGAGATGGCCTGACACCATGGTAGCAGCAGTTGTGAGGATGGCACAGGACTGGCAGTGTTTCACTCTGTTACTGCATAGGGTCGCTATGAACCGGAAGTGACTTAAAGGCACCCAACAACAACAAAATGTGCTAGGCACTGTGGTAGGCAGAGTGAACAGGAAGCCCAGGACCCTTACCTGTGTTCTAATGGGAGACTGACCGTAAACAAGTAGACAAACACACACAGCTTTAGAGTTTTATGAACTGAGTTCCCCATTGGGGAAAGGAACCCAAGGATGGAAATGCTACCTGGGGGTGTTGGGAAAATGCCCAATGGCCCCAGGTGCTGTCTCAAACCATAACCCAAGTTCCTGGACTCTGAGATCAAAAGAGCTTCTGCTTTCTAGCAGCGGTTGCCCTACAAGTTTGGATCTGAGCAGATCGGCATTCTCAGTTGGCACTGGGAGTTTCTAAAGAAATACCTCTTTCCTTGGGGGTGGAGTGAGGTGGGTGGGGTGAGTGGGAGAACAGCCACAGATCCCAGAGGGCCCAAATCGGCCTCCCTGGGGCAGGAACTTACCACTGAGTCAAGGAACTGAATGTAGCACTCAAGCCCAGGTCTGGTCTCGCAGAACTGCCGGAAAAGCAATCTCCCAATTGGTTGCTTGTCACACAAGCTGCAGTAATCTCTGTCTGGAGACAAGAACAGAAGAGTGTGATGAGACCTAGGACACGCAGGCCCAGGTGATGGAGCAAGGTGTCTGCTACTCCTAGGAGCCTGAGAGGAGACACGTCGGTGTAGGGGAAGGACGTTTCCCAGTGTCCATTCCCAACCTCAGGACCCCTTTCCAACACCCTGATTTCTGTTTGGAGATACCACTTGCTCTGGGGACACTAAGGAACCCTGATGGCAAAGTGGGTTAAGCATCGGACTGCTAACCAGAAAATCAGTAGTTCAAACCTACCACCTGCTCTGCAGGAGAAAGACGAGGCTGTCTGCTCCCGTAAAGATTCACAGTCTTGGAAACCCCGTGGAACAGTTCTGCTTCGTTCTATAGGGTTAGTAGGAGTCACACTGACTGAGTTGGTTTTTGGTTCTGGGGGCTATGATTCCCCCTTGACCAGCTAAGCAGTATATCACATTCCCCCTGCTATGGTGAATGGACAAGGATAGCAGGGACATGACCACCGTCTGCACTGTGGTGCTTGTGTGTTCCTGTGATGCTGGATGCTATTCCACTGGTATTTCCACTGCTAGCAGGGTCAGCCTCAGTGGACAGGTTTCAGAGGGGCTTCCCGATTCCAAAGGCGCTGCGATCTAAAAGTGAGTCAACCAAAGCCTTACGGAGTATAGGATGCTACTGGAGATCCGAACTCACTCACTTTGGATGCGTCACCAGGACAGGTTGATCACTGGGGAAGGATATGCTTGGAGAGGTGGGGGTCCAGTGAAGATGAGGGTCAGCTTCATGAAAGGGTCAGTCACAGTGGGCTCAAACGTTCCGACGATCAAGAAGACAGCTCAGGACTGCGCAACATTTTGTTCTGACTCAATGGCAACCAACAGCCACAGAAGGGAGAGATACGTCCAATGGGAATGAGCCACAGACTGCCTGAGACAGCTGGGGCTGAGGTGCTCTCCTCCTGCGGATGGTGGTGCTCTCCTCCTGTGGGTGTGAGGCCAGGGCCTGCAGCAGTATTCTCCACCCTGCAGGGGGAGCTGCTGTGAGGAGGGGCTGACACATGGACCATCAGGGCTGTGAGAGTTACAAGAAGTACAGGTGGTCCGTGGTGCTGCTAATAATCTCTGCATCATAGCAGTCCATCCCACTGGTAAAATGCTTAATTCTGGGGCAATATAGCCCCATATGTTTAAGGCAGTTTGACATTTGTTTAAAAAAATTACTCGTAACTCAACACATCCTAATCGATAAAATAAAGAAATCCATCTCACTGAGGGACTTCCTCCATTCCGCTGGCCCTCTACTTTATAAAGCATGGTGCCCTTCTCCAGGGACTGGTCCCTCCTGGTAACGTGTTCAAGCACATGAGATGAAGTTTCAGCATCCTTGGCTTCTAAGGAGCACTCTGGCTGTACTTCTTCCAACACAGATTTGTACATCCTTCTGGCAGTCCATGGTATATTTAATATTCTTCACTAATACTATAATTTAGAGGTATGAGTTCTTTGGGCTTGTTTTTTCATTGTCCAGCTTGATACATAGAAATGCTTGATAAAATACACTATTTACACAGACTGGTCTGTCCCAGCCCTTTCCTTTGGGGAACCCCCTCCCTGCCCCCGAGTTTTTAAAAACCTAGCTTCTAGTTCTAAGAAAAGTGATTCCTCCCAAGCACCAAGGATGAACATGTGACTCAGTCACAGCCAATCAGAGCTCTCTGCTAGCCACGATTGGTTCAGAGATGGGATCATGACCCGAGCTGGCCTAGAGTGCTTCTAGGGTTTTTTGCCAGAACTTTCTGGAAAGAGGCTTGTCCTCTGGGATGGCCGAGGACACTGTGTTCCCATGTGTTTTTACCAGATAGCTTCATTCAGTCGCTTGGTGCTGGGTTTTTGTCTCTTACAACTGAAAATGCAGAGACAACATGTAGGCTGTGGGGAGTTTGAGAGTCCATTCCTCCTTTCAGGACTAAACTGCCTGAGGGACTAGTTTGCAGGAACTCACCACAGTTCTTAGTAAATGGGACTTCAAAAACTTCATGGAAAAATTCCATTCTCTTTTCCCCACAAACTTTTTTTTTGTTTTTAACATCTTACTGTGAATTGAGTGAAGGTTTACAGAGAAGACCATCAGTTTTCCATTCAATGATTCATACGCAGTTTGTTTCATCTCATTGATTGCAATCCCTGTGAGGTAATATCACTTATCCCACTTCCTCCCTGCAGTTCCTGTTTCCATTTCGCCCTCATTCCCTACTATTCTGAACTTTGTCTTCAGGTAAATGTTGCCCTTTTGATCTTGAATGATTGACCATTCCATGGGGAGCACATCTTACTAGTGGTGTTCCCCCTATATATCTATCTACAGCTTTTTTGAAAACTGGGCCATGTGGGTGAGTTCTGTTTCAAACCTGAGAGGTGGCCGAGGGTCACAGTTTCTGGTTCCTCCAGTTTCTTTCTGACCAATAAGCAAGTCATTTTGATCATTTTGAGCTTTGTTGCACATTTTCTCCCACTCTGTCAGTGACCTTCTAACATGATTCCTTTCAGAGTAATTGATAGTGGTAGCTGGGCACCTAGTTTTTCTGGTCTCAGATGTTCACATGTTTTGTAATTAGTCCACTGGACTGTAGGTTGATTTCACGCATCTTCAATTCTCATCACTCTTCTTTCATCCGCACATGGAGAGACCAACAGCTGCACCTTAGATGGCTGCTCATGAGCGTCTAAGATTCCAGATGCTGCTCACCAAAGTAGGATGTAGAACATGGTCTTTGTGAACCCCACAAACTTTTTAAAGCTTCCTCATATGAGAAAGAGATTAAAAAAAAAAACAAAACAAAAAACTCTTACATACTCCTGAGTGGAAACTTGGATCAATACGGATAAGTCAATTTCTAAGTCCACCTCACCCCTGGGTGGTGTAAACAGTTAATGTTGTCACTAGAAAGGTTGGAGGTTTGAGTCCACCCAGAGACGCATTGTAAGAAAGACCTGGCGATCTACTTCGCTAAAATCAATCATTGAAAACCCTACGGAACACAACTCTGCTGTGAAACACATGGGGTCGCAGTGAGTAGGCACTGATACCATGGCAACTGGCTAAGTCCACTCTGGACTCCTCCCAAGTGGTGCTGGAACTAGCCCTGGACAACCATCTCGACTCTTCAGTTCTGGGGCATGCTCACTCTCCACACACAGATGGCTCAGGGATAGTGACTCCAACAAGCACTTCAGCTATGTTGATGTGTGCTAGGACCTCAGGAGCCACTGGGGGCAGTAAGACACAATCCCAGCCCTCAGGGAGCCTGGACCCTGCTGGAAAGGACAGCAGGAGATGTGCGGGTGAGCAGATAAGAACCCAAATGACAGTAATAAAAGGTCAAATCGAATGAGTGTTATCGTCAGTCACCGTGGGGAGTCTGGGAAGGAGGGAGTCAGGCCTGCAGGTCTCAGTGGCCTGCGACAGGTTTGTCCCCTGCACCTGTTAGCGTGATACACTGTGGACACAGCCTGTGTTCTCCCTGCCACTCACTCAACCTGGCTCCCCAAGGAGAGGAAAATCAACCTCCTCATCTGTTCCCCATCAGCTGGTCCAGCACAAACACAGAACCAGCGTGTTATCTTGTGTCCAGCTCCAGTCTTAGTAATTACGGGGGAGAGAGCCACACCATGTATGTGATCCGGGTTTCAAAAAGCATTGAGATTTCGTGTAGAACATTGAGATTTCTTGAGGGTTCATCTGACAGGTTTTTGCTTTTTTTCTCTCTGTCTCCATATGGTGTTTGCTGTCAGTACGGAAATAAGGCCATTACAAATGCACAACACAGTAAACACCATGTGATCCCCACCCAAGCTGCAGCACCTCAGTCCGAGCTTCCCTCAGGTATGAAAAAGAAACTCACTCATGGGAAGCCGAGGAGGAAATAAAAGGACAAGTTATCAGTGATTCAGTCTTTTCTCAACAGGATTAAATGGGCCCATCTTCTGAGTAGGCACCAGAAAAAACAACAAAAGCAAAGTGTAACATTCGCAGTTGTTCTAGAAATGTTCAACTTCCTGAGGCTGCCAGAACAAAACAGCACCAAGTGGGTGCCTTTGAAAAGCAGAAATGTGTGGTCTCACAGTCCTGGAGGCTGAAGCCCTCCCGACGGTGTCGGCCATGTTGACTGCATCTGAGGCTCTGAGGAGAACCCGCGCCCGGCCTCTCCCTCAGCTTCTGGTTTTACCCACAGACACCAAGTTGACTCCGACTCATAGGGCCCTATAGGACAGAATGGAACTGCCCCTTTGGGTTTCTGAGACTGTAAATCTTGATGGGAGCAGACAGTCTCATCTTTCTCCCACTGGTGATTTTGAACTGTGGTTAGTAGTCCGACTTATAACCCATTATTGCCGCCCGGACTCCTTCAGCTTCTGGTAACCCCAGGCATTCTGTGGCTTGCAGCTGCAGCAGGGCCAACATGAACCCTTCCCCTTACTGGGTCTCTGTGACTCTTCTCTTTTATAAGGACACTCAAACTGGATTTGGGTTTACCCAACTGTTGTATGGCTTCATATTAACTGATACTATTTTCAAAGGCTCAGTTTCCCAACAAGCCACATTCATAGATACCAGGGATTATGATTTCAACATACACTTCTGAGGAACACAATTTCAATTCATAACAGAGACCATGGAAGGAAGAATACAGGTTTGAGAACCGGTGAAGTGGACAGGAAGTGCCTCAATCACAGTTCCTGATACCCTTGGTACAAACCCCAGATGTGGCGGCTTCTGGAAAAGTTAGAGAACAGTGAAGTCGGAAGCAGGAGGGGCTTTGCAGTGCACTCTGGGAAAGGGTTCTTCTGACTGGATTCTACAGAAGCTGCATGTGTTGTTGAAATCAGTTTGGAAGGGGGCTGCCCACATCCTTCCTTCCAAGTGGGTACCATTGCGGTTGGTGAGGATCTAGAATAGTAGGTCAGAAGGCTGCTGTGTCTCTCTCAGGCTGGGAAAACCTTGGGGTTC